ATGCGGTCAGACCAAAATTCGCATTGGCCTTAGGGCACATTGGGTTCAATACCCTGATGAGATATAGGATTTTACAGGATCCGATTACCCATCTGTCTGATTAATCATGGTAAACTGCCGCACGGCTACAAGTCTTCATGATGATTGACCCCCTGTGCTACGAATGTAACAGCGACATGGTATCCTTTATATCCGTAGGTGATTGTTCTTCCTTCCACCTAGGTAAACATTTTGATCCCCTGTTTGTCCACCCGTGGTCTGTACTAGCCGCGGTATTCACAAAAAACAGCAGAGTTTCTGTTTCGAAGTTGAGCAAGTACCTTATGGGTCTCATTTTGTCTTTGTGTGCATTTGAATCCGTCCTTCATATCATGTGCTTGCAGCCCGTTCAGAATGTTGTCAAAACCGTTAATCAACAATTGCACAGAGAGACGATATTTACTATCTTTAGGAAAAAGATAGATTTCACTTTACTGGTAGCATTTATTTTAAGTCCAGCATACCTTCTTGCTGCTGTGGAATTCTTGAGATAAATGCCAGAGGGTCCTGCACACTTCAAGAGTCTACTTTTCGTTCTTTTATTCTCTTCGCATAAAACGAACATCGGCAAGCGAGCGATCGCTAAATGGACTGCTTAAATCTTACTTGTACACTCGTCTCCTTAACACCAGCGGCTACCTGCTGCTCCGGATGATGCCGCGCAACACTGAATGGAACATTGAAAACGGGTTCTATCAGTTGTATCGCCAATACATGTGCCAGACCGTGCCGTTTCTCCGGACCACAAGCAACAAGCATTGCATCTCATCTACTTCATGCTAAATAGACAATACACGGGTTTGCAGAAAGGTAGGCGTATTTTGCTATGCATCGACTTGTGAGTAAGTCCACACTCATCTTCCCCTTAGGATGCGAGTGTGGTGCACTTAAAGCACGCCACGCTGGTGTAACATAGTCCAGGATGTGATTGTGACCAGTGCGCAGGTGTAGCTAAGTGGCAGTGACACAGACTGAGGCGGAAACTGATCAATATCGATCCTCTGGCTATGAGTGGCGCAGAGTGCGAGCAAGTAATTTGAGCAATGGGTAGTAACGGGCATAAGAACAAACGCTTGACAAGTCCTGCAGGATGGTTAGGGTGAAAAGTACAAGCGATAGTGTCTTTTAAAAAGATCGAGATACTTTTCTCACCAAGAGCTTTGGAGCAGCACAAGTGTACGCTTTAGAGGATTATGACACCGTACACTGTTTATTCCGTACTAATACTATCATCTGATGGCCATGGGCTGTATCGTTTAGTGTAGATGGGGCATAGTAATGTCAAGGCGCTTTCCGAATAATAATAATAATGCGGGAGCATTTATAACATACGCTGGGAGGAGTTCCAATTATGAGACACTTGGCGGGAGGAATGTTTCGTCGACTCTCCAGTTGGCTGGACTGAGTGGCCAACTTAAACTGGTAAGCACTTGAAGATGTCTTATGACTGAGTTTCGGAAGAGAGTTTGGGTTTTTTAGGATCTGCTGCATCATCATGATTTCGTCTCGTAGACGTCGATAATTTCCACTGTACACTGTGAGTTTTCAGCCTGAGAGTGTATGGAAGGCGGGACCAACCTCTGACGTCCTTCGACGCCTAGCGTTGTTTAGAAACTGTGCAGTGCGATCCTTCTGCAAGGGTTGCTACGCTTTCATAGTGTATTCAGCGTTTAGCCTCACGTACGGGCCAAACATTTTCTGAAAGTCTGAGGCGTCAAAAATCCCGAACGCTCTACGAAGGAGACCAAACTGCTAATTTGATTTCCTTGATGCCTTTCCAGTCTGCTTCAAACAACCAAGTGGGATGGGATTGTACAAGCAGAAGGACGATGCGACGTACAAGATGAAGCAAGCGGCTAGCGCGTCGTAAGAGAACATAGAGGTTGTTGGAACAGCTTGGTATATTTCGTCTTCGCGCAAATTGATTCTCTGGAGCGGATTTGTTTAACTGTTTCGAAGGAAGCATCTCATGAGAGCACCAGCTTCGTTAGTTATGGAAATGACTTAGTCAATTATATCGATGTCCTTACCTGCTTGTCGTGTTGGCATTTTTGCTGAGCTAGCTTTGCCGAATAAGCTGCTTATTCCTGAGTGACCGAGTTCACATCTGGTGGGAACACCGCGTGAGTAACGAGCGTATTCGACGCCTTGTTTACGGCACAGGAAAAGGAAGTGAACCGCTCAGCACCGTCATTTCACGCACCAAGCTCCGATGGCTCAGCCACGTGTTACGCATACCACCCCTCCGAATTCCACGACTTGCGTGCTTTGCTCACCAGGGATGGGGTTGGAAGAAGAGGAGGGGTGGCCAAGCGATGACTTGGTCCAGAGGAATGAACGCCCTCACTTCTGGCCTCGGTTGGAGCGTCACGGCTCCCGGTTGAGGTCCAAAAGACGGTGAACACCTTTGGCTGGATACACTTGCTGACATGGCAAGGAGCCGACCGCAGTGGTGTTCCTGATGTGAGTTTCTTTGTCCCTCCCCATCCCTTTTAGCCGCCCTCACCATCTATGATCTCATTTCTTAGCGTAAAACATAATAATTTTTCTTTTTGCCTAGTAGCCATATGGTAGCTTACCGAAACGATGCTTATTCGTTGCTGGTAGCACAGCTTGCATGCAACTGTTGTATTTATTTTCCTTTTTTACGTATTGCGGTACAGTGGCTGAAGTGTTTCCCACCTCTAGCTGACGTGTATAATGATGATGATGATGAATTCTGTACACCAAGGTCATCTTGCACGAACTCACCGGGATTGTACTCATGAAAAGCTGGCTGTAGAATTTGTGACCCTAACAGTTTGTTGTGGGTACTCTGATGGCGTATACTGAGAAAATTCACTTGATGGCGTTGGACTGCATCATGTTTTCGACGGACCATGTGTAAGATTTTGGCATATCCTCTTCTAGGGCTCTGTGATCCTCAAATCTAGCAAGCCATGTCTTTGGATCGTCGGCGGATGGTGGGCTGTTTGTAGATGGCACACACGCAAAATCATTTATGAATACCAGGAACAGGCGTTGCCCGAGTACCTGTCCCTGAGATACGCCGCATTAGACTTCGACTGGTTCCGAAAGTGTTTCGCGAAGTTTCACATTCCGGTGACGTTGGACGAGAAAGTCGCCCATTTAGCCCAGAACAGGGGGCGCCGATTGCATAATACTGGATTCTGTACAGTAGAACGCGATGGTCCAGGCGGTTGAATGCCTTTGAGAAATCCAGCTAAGCGGCATCTAGTCCTACACCAGCATCCACATATTCCGTCCAGCATGCACGAACGATCAACATGTCAGTGGCAAAGGAGCAGTTTTGGCGTAATCCGTACAGCACCAGTGTGAGAATTTTTTAAATCTCCAGTTGCCCCATGAGCGCCTCAGCTGCAACAGACACCACTATCTGGGAGATCATCGAAAGCAGTGTTATCGACCATTGTTCGTCGTTCTGCGCAGCTACCAATTTTGTAGATTGGAATAACGATACTGTGCTTCCATATCGTGAGAACGTGTGTCACGTTAAGACATCGCTGAGGTATTATTGCTAACGATACATCAAAACTCATGTTAACCAGCTACAGCACATTTGAACGGATTCTGTCTGCACCCGGTTTGCTGTACTAATTCAAGAACACCAGCCGCTTTAGTATATCTATGGCTGTAAGGGATATGCGGTTGACTCTTGATGGCAGTATCATCTGCGAAAGCACGGTGTAAGATGACTGTACACTTTGGGAGTACAAATAGATTGTTGTCCAAAAATTTTGGCCGCATCTTATGTCCTTTGTGTTCAATTGCATGCTGTGTGCCGAGCGGGAATTCTGCGCTTAACCCAGTGAAGTTTGCTTACGTGTCTGGATAGTAGCTCGGGGTTAAACACACTTTTATCACAGGGTCCAGTAGGTAATTATCTTTATCCACCCAGACGATTTCGATACCGTGGTTCCTTTGTGTTTTATAGTTATCGCAGGTGTCCTCGATCGGAGCGACTGTGTGGACGAGCCAATCAGAGGCCATCAATGCCATGCATTTTCGAGTCCTGTGTCTATGAACGATTTCAGCATTTTTAAACGTTGAATTTGGCTTTCAGCAGTGCTCACCACGAGGTAATTGAATCTGTTGATAGATTCCCCTCTGGCTACCTCAGGGGAACATTCAGCTAGCAAAGACCAACTTGTTACATCAATGAGATTGGGTAGGTCACCATAGTTAGTTACGACGTGAGATTCCTCAGTAATCGCTTTTTGCTAATCTGCGTAGCACATTTAATGAAACACTAGTGTCGCATGATAGCTGCGGCCCAAACCTGCGCGCGTTGTTACTACACTGATCATGAATTCCTGGTTCGCAAATGGAGGTCCAAGACAGCCGGTTTTTTTTCCTGTCCTGAAATGCGTCGAAGAAGTTAACTGATTGCACAGCGGGGAACAAGCAATTAGTTTCTTTCCGTTCCGTTAACGTAGGCATGCTCCAACCGTGCCAGTGACCGTCTTATCAGGCGTTACGCAATCATAACAGAGGCATTACCTCCATCATAACAATACGCTTCAACATTTAAGGTGCACTCGTCCTCTCTGAATACAGCATCGCTGGTGGCCTGGAAGCCCGACTTATTCCGGGCTACAGTGCTGATGCCAGTACGCTCCCTTCTTATGACTAGCTGTTATTCGGAACTGTGATCCTTCTTAGAATATATCCCTGAAATCTAGTACACCAGCCTAGATCGGCACTCTCGGTGCTGTCACAACCATGCCGCAAAAGTAACGGCCATGAGGAACTGCAACATTTATCAGGGCGGTATAGAGAACGGAAAGACAGCTGGATACCTTATCAGGTTGTTTCACTGTGATGAAATAAAAATGTGTTCTTTGCTAGTGAGTTTTATTTAGTTGTCACGTCATTACCACCTTGCTAATTCTGCAGTATGCCAGTTCAATAATAAAATATTCGCTTTCTATTGGTTTCAGGGAAGAACATCGATTTGTTTCTGCCTTTTGTCAACGGGCACGATCAGCAAGAACTAAGGTAAGCTTCTTCATATCATGGGCGTCCTAAGCAAGTGCCACAAAAATTACGCTATTGTATTGGTTATAATATGGACCGCCAGGTAAGCTGAATGGATAGGCGAAACAACGAGAAAATATTAAGTACGGCACGACGAACATCATGCTTGCTTCTACCATTGTTCGGTCAGTCTAGGCACCATATTCACTTCTCGCTTAATGACCTGCAACTTGCTGACCCACTGTCATTAATTTGGGAATAGTGAGTAGTTAAACAACTCATTTGTGATCCAAAAAGTGTGACCCATAAATCTGCATCTTTCTACTTCTTGGGGCAACAGACCGACTGAACAAAATAAGGTAAAGCCGAGAGTTTAATTCATCCACTATTGACGGATGAACAATGAACAACGAATATTTACGGGTTGAGAATCAATGCTCTACATGTTCAGTCGGGTGTTTTTGCAGGGGTATCGAAAAATAACAAAACAGTGGGTTGTTTACGTTTAAAAGGGGGACTTATGGTTTGTTTCGCTGTGGTCCTGCGATCCGTGTAGTTTCACAGCACAATCATGCCACAGCAAATAATTCCAAAAGTATATTCCAGGGGTGGGATGGAGATGCAGTACTAGGTAACAAAGTTTAGGTGAGTAAGTGAGTCATCCAAACGTTTTGTAACTATCAATAGTGATTGTGCAGAAATGACCAGTTCTGGAAGAGCATCGCACGGGTGACACATGCGGACGGAAAACAAATTCCTGCAGCTATCCAGGCGGCTGTACTGGTCTGCTCGTTTTAGCGAGTTACCTCTCAAGTTGTTATTACTGCTGAGTTGCAGTAAAGAGCAGTACACATGATGTGGATAGTGCAACATGAAGTACGCCATTAGTAAGTCACCTCGGAAATAGCGATAAAGTCCGATGAAAACCCCCAATCGTTCCAGCATTTCCTCGTATGGAAGATGGTGCATTCCAATTACCTACTTTGATGCTCGACGTGGGGGCTACTTCAATGCACTAAGGTCGTGTTTTAGCCATTGATGTCAGGCTGAAATTGTATATTCGACATGAGGAAGAACATACACACCAAGTATCTGAAGGGAAATAGCGAGATCTGTTTGTCCGAACGCCCGTGGTAAAAAGCCCACATGTTGGTTGCCGGTTTTGGAGGCTTTCGCGGATTGCCTGGGACAATCCAGATCATCCTAAACCAGCAGGCCAAAATCACGTTCGGTGAAAGTTCGCTGCGGTACATGTTTTCCGAGCATATAACATTGGTTGCACTGGTGTCCTATGGAGAGCACTTTGCATGTACTCACGTTGAATTGTAGGGAATTTTGGATGGATCACTGATTTCTGTGTCTAGATCACGCTGAAGCAGTTGGTGGTCAGTATTCTTCTAAACCTTGCGCCACATCTTGAGGTCATCAGCAACCAGTAGGAAGTAAGACGTAATTGCCTGCATGAAATCGTTGATAAATACCAAAAACAATCGGGACCTAGCACCGAGACTTTAGAAGCACCACATTCAACATATATGGGGTCAGAGAAGGAGCTCACAACTCTGACCACCAGTTGCCGCTGAGGGAGAGAGCGATCTAGCTTAGAAGAGGGTCATCGATCCCTTAAGGCTGTAGCTTGCAAAGAAATAACCGATGATCTAGACGCTCGAATTCTTTTGCGAAATCCAGGTAGATCACCTCAAGCTGCTCTCCAGTGTCAGCTGACTAGGTCTAGCTACTCGGTACTAATAGCAAATTCCATATGTACGATCAATTCCGACGTAAGCCCTGCTGCTCAGAAATAATAATAGAGTTTTCCAAATAGCCCACCAGCGCATCGGCTATGATGGGTTCCATCAAGCTGGACAGTATAGGAAAACTGGGGGGGGGTAGTTTGAAGCCTTGGTTCTACTTCCACCTTTGTGAATGGGTTATTATTTCAAGCTTTCACATGGCAGGAACTTAGTGCTGATCTAAGCAGCGCTGAAAGAACTGAACCAGTTGCTCTGCCAGTTGAGTTGTTGCTGCTGCCAGGGCCTCTGGGAGAATAGCACCGAGGCCCGGGTATTTGTGCCTGCGCAGAGTGGTTAGCATCCGCAATACAGCTTCGGTGGCAAAGACGATGTAAGTGAGTCGCGACAATGGGGCGGTAAATGCTGGAGGATCTCCTGATGGTAATAACGGAGTTCGACAATGTTTATGTAAAAATCTTGTAGTTGGAACAGAATTTTTAGGCTAGATATTGCTAACGCGTTCGTTTCTCATCGCGTACAAGGTTCATGCATTGATTTCTTGGGGTAGTGTACGCTTCACATATTTCGGCACCCGGTGACTAATTATATTTTCTCCAAACCGAATCCCTGCTGCCCACACAGTTCCTTGTCCGGCTGCGCATAAATGGCTTTATCGTTATCACGCGTAATGGCCTTTTCCTCAAAGCCCTGGTTATTGACTTGTGGAAATGACTCATAAAAGCCCACCAGGCCACATCGGGGATAGTATGCCTGGAAGTAGTTCGTTGGTGGCATTGATGAGTGTAGTCAGAAGGTTGTAACTGACAATGATTGAGAAGTGCTGGAGTTTTCTGCGAAATACTCTGCATAGCAGATGTAGCTGTGTGACAGTGTTACAAATGGCTGCGGCCCAAAGCACTAGCTATCAATGACGTTTCGAGCATAAGCTCGTCGTTGGTAAACACAAGATTCAAGATGCCTAGTTTGTTCCGTGTCCTGAGTCCTTTGGGAGAAGTGACGTGCTTTTAGATTGCTAATCTAATGATTAGCTCCTGTACTTCCATTGTGAAGAGCCCCTCGAGACAGCTAGGCATTTCTAGGGCGCGAAGATTAAAGTCACTAACCAGGAGAGTGTAACTGTTCGATTGTGAGAAGATAGCCTTTCAAGTGGAGGGTGAGACTGGCCATTACTGAACCAGTCGACGGAGAGTGATACACGATACTGACATATGTGTAGGCTGCACCAAAGCGAATCGAAAATCTAGTTGCGCAGGTAGTCGAGGAGATCAAGATGTTGCGCACTGCGGTAATAGAGTAGTAAACCTCCACTATTCGGTCTACCGTTGTGCAGTATAGACATCCCAAGTATTACGAAGTCTGTGTCAGTGTTCATTCAACAATGCCTTGTGATGCGCTATCGAAATGTTGAAGTCAGACTGCGCTGTGATCAAGACTCTATCTAGCTTAAAACTGAAACGCAAGGTTACAGAACTTTGCATATGTTCACTAGCTTCTCGTGCACACCTTTGCCCTGTATCTTATCGCCCTCTTTCGGCTGTACGATCTCAAGTTGGCTAAGCAGTCCCGATCGTGGCGTACAAAATGTCCCCTTTACCACGCTTTAGCATGACGTTCGGCCAAGCAGCTTCCCCGTCCCATCGAGCCAGCTCGTTCTCACACTCTTGCCAGACATTCGTTCGCACAGCTTTAGTAGAGCGGCTCTCGCGCCAAGGCTATCGCCGCATACTCAGTTCCCATAATGAGGTCCCACGACATTCTTTACCGACATAACCGGAGCTCTATAGGTTTGCTTAAAAAGCTTTGTATGGCATTTTCAAAAGAAAAGTGTGCCTTATTTGTGAAAATCTTGTGGAAGTTGTAGATAGCAGTTGTTAGACTTGACTAACCCTCGAGAGGTCGGCTACTACTCTTTTTTGGGCGTTATTGGCTCCCGAGTGGTGGGGATATATCGCTGAACCAGACACTTAACGTCATGAAGATCATGGGGGCCACTCCCATTCTTTGGTGTCCCCCCCGTTTCGTATAACGATTGCAAGGTCAGCCAATGTGATTGACTCCACAACGGGTCTTTTCACTGACGCTGCCACCCTCAATGACAACCAATAAACTATGGTCATGTCGCAGCTGCTTCAGTCGAATATTTTGTCAGCTCCTTAGTGTACTCATCCCAGTTCTTCAGTATAGTCTTTACCGTTAGTTCAAACAGTAGCACCAACTTCAATAACTAATGACCTCTGATTACTCTTGCCAGCAAACTAGCAGGGACATTTTTAGAGAAAGTCCCTCACGGATGTGGTGTCATTGCTCCCGATCACATGCCTGAACTTCGTCCTTAACCAATGCAAGAAAATCGGACACCGGGAACAATGACGGTTTTTTCATCATTACTTTCGGATTCCCCCTTGGTTGTAAGGATCCTTTGAACTTTTCTTTCACTAGATGCCTGGTAGTATGCGCATACCGGTTGATGTGTTGCGGAGTTGATTCCTGTACAGCAGAATGGTGTCCGTCTCGTAGGCAGAGTTTGGTTTTGCCCGAACAGGTTGAGGCTAACCATAGTGCAATGAGTTTGTGTGACTTGCAATGCATCTCAGTGTATTTGGGTTAGCACGGATATCGAAGATGCTGCAGAAAATATCTCACTGATTACCATCGTCTATCAGTTTATCCGTTATTGGATTGGATTTGGGAACCTTTTTGCTCGCAACACTTAAGGCACCATGGTTGCACTTGGTGGTTATTACCTTAAGAGTGTCATATTCTGTTGCTTCTGTGGATTGATAGGCGACACTGGCGATAGCGATTCATGCCGCGCAAACTCAGTTTTGCCCATTACAGGAAGCGGAGGCACGGGTGTTTTCTTTTCTACGTTTTCCTGGAGGCAACCGATACGCATGATGTGCAGTTATTTTTTTTACCGTAAACTGGCCATAGCTTCGGGTCTCAACTATGGCAACTGCATTACTAGGAGTGACACCCTAGGATGATGTGGAAGCAGGCAAGTAGTCAACGAGCGCGCGAACTACGCGTCTATAGTGACACGTAGTGCATCAGTGCACACTCCAAAGTAGAAGATTTATCGGCCCAAAAACATTGTTTCACGTGGAAGTGAGTGAACTAACTGGGCGAACTAACTGACGAGTTCTTAGGGTCAAACCTGCTGAGTTATCGTTGTATACTTATTCAGTAATCCCTAACGGACTGACTTTTAGCCATTCACTGAAAATTCTACCCAGTGCATTCGGATACAACGTACAGTCACATACTCTATAAGGGTCACACTATTAATGATCACTGTTACTGTTAAATAGTTCTCTTTTTTCGACCGGCTAGATTCAGAGTTGGTGACTCACTTACCGTCATGCGTCTTGTTGGTGAATCGAGAGGATGCATGTAACTGAATGTTGCGACTGCTTCTAAATTGGCTAGTTGTTAATGTTTGGAATTCCAGACTATGTGCATTGAAGTTATGTGAGATGCCAATACGACCCTAGTAACAAAATATGTGCTTTTAAAAGGTTAATGTCAAACTGAAATCCATCTTCTCTACGTACAGATGTCAGAACGGCCCAGTAACATGTCCACGTAGTTCGCCTACTGAAGCGCGTAGTAACTGCCGCGTTCAGTATTGATTGATCTACTGCACGCTCTCTAATGTTATTTGACCGGCTAACAGCCTCTATAGAAACCGCGATTTGGGTTGGCATAAGTCGAACCAAGGTTCACCTAGAACTATGAGCTGTAAGCTGTTAGACGTCTAATCCAGTAGAAACAAGTTCCTAATATGTAGATGAAAAACGCAGTGAGGAGGTCTGATGAAGAGTTGAATCAGATGTGTGCGACAACCGCCTGACAGAGCCTATTTGTGATGAATCCAAAGTTGTTCCTCAAATTTCAGTAGTTATTAGGAGTGTATGAAGTTAACGATTGAGATTGTCAGCGAGATAAATGTTGATTACTAGCCACAATTTTATGGAACTTAAACGGTGATCTTGAGTCAATGCTAATGAATTCGCAACAGTACGCTTAAGCATCCTAAGCGAATGCACCTGTGAAACTCAACAATATTCGTTCGCTGTTATGGTTTTAACAGAATTCCTTTAGGTTCTGCTGGGTAAGAACTCGGGGGACAGTCTGGTTAGGGAGGAATGAGAGTGTTTCATCACCACGCATTTTTAATCCGCCTAACCAAACCTCCGATTTTAGTATGATCGTTGTAACATGCTTGCACTACCTGGTTGAATATTTAAGCCCGGGTACTCTTGTCGGAAAGACAGACTCGTAGTGGTGGCGACAATGATCCCGAGTAGGGACTTTTTGGTGAGCAAAGTGTGATTCTCTCGGATAGCCTGATTAAGGATAATCATGGTGGCAGTTTCTCTTATTCATGAGCGCCACCCCTTGTCTGATGAAGTCGGTTTTAAGAATAATGTGGGCTGTACCTAATTCTACTCAGAAACTGACTATCTATGGGAGAGTTCATTCGCTGTATCAGCAGATGTCCGTACAACCAAATTATCCCCAGTGCTTGGAACGCAGGTGAAGAGGGTCATCTATCAGCTTAACAGGTCTGCTTGAGACACAAATGGAGTTCCATTGACTTGGGTCACCTGGTTGTCGTTAACCTCTAATGGTGAAAATCTAGTTTTCCTCTTGTGGGTTGGGATAGCCGAGGGAATTGCTCAGACTGGTCTCGTGGTGCAGGTTTACCAGCCACTAGTTGGAAAGCAAAACTCTCGTATGCATGTACAGGTCGTGTATTTCTGAACAATCGATGCAAATCTGTTTGTGCGTCTTATACTAATAACCAAGTGCCCATCCTCTGTCTCTGAGACATTGTTCGTTGAAGCTGCACTTAATATCGATCTATCCCTTTAGCACAGATGCACATCTTCGGTAGCGTTGCTCGCCAGGCGATTTTTTCTTGTTTGCTAAATCGGTTTATTTTTCCTTGGCTTTGACAACAGGATACAAGAGTATCAAACTAGTTCTAGAGACAAGAATGTCAGTAGGGGCGGTTGAATCACGCACACATGCACAGGATCATAAATACGGCAGAGTATCCAACCAATGGGATGTATCTTCGGCTGCCAGCTACTAACTGGTCCAATTGTGCCCATAAATCTAACTGAACAAATACTGCGTCTTTCTGATCAGAAAGCAGTCACGAATTTTCTTTATGCCCACCGAAGTTATTTAAGAGATGTTCCCATAGCAGCCCACGCGTGTTCAATACACTGTCTCATGTTTCAACTTTGCGATTAGTAGATTGTGCTGAACTTTGTCAGAAATACAAATAATTCTGTACAATACATGCTAATCCTTGCAGCAAATTGGGAGTAGAAGAAGCTTGCACAAGATATTTTGTACTTCGAAACTATAAGAAGGAACCGTGCTTTAACTGTTAGGTTTTGGTGTATACACCTGATGCCTGGGCTGCAGTACACAATCGCATTTGGGGCTAAGGTTTCTTTGTAGTGGAGCACTAGCAGTGCGATCACTGGGACACATTATATATGATGTTGGGTAAACCATAACTGCTGTTACTTTGCTACTTATCAGGCGAGCAAGCTCCTTTGACAAGCAGGCATATTTTGCTTGAGTTCAGCAGTCAGCCGTGCCATGAGTGTGAACAAGATGACGGTTATTCACAGACGCCATTCAAAAAGCATTTGATGCACACATGTGCCATTCAATGCAGCTTAAACCGTATGCGACCACTGCGAAACCTTCCGATTGAACATCAAAATTACTGCTGATGAAAACGCAGTCCGGCGAATGTGATCTCCCTATTACATCCACGCTGACCTGTCAATGGGTGTATCTACTAATCAACGAAACTGAAGAGATGCCAGAGTTCTGTAGACAGAATTTTCTCCCAACAAAGTGGTGGGATAAGGCCTTGCCACATAAGAGCATTCGCGGTAGCAGCGCGATCATCCACTTCCTAGATTACTTTTCTTGAACTTACTACACCGAAGGCAGCAATCATAAGCTCACAAATAGAACAGGTTGGTAGCAGCTTCTGCTTTTAGGAATACGTTTTTACTTGGACAATATTGCAACAATGGTACGGAAGCAAAATCGAATGCCTAAAGTTCGTGGCTGAAGTTCACTTACGTAAAGTTAATCCGAAACAGTTAAAGGATAACGCAGCATGTTCAGTTAGCTCGATTTGTGAATCTTAGAATCGTGTCTTGGTTCAAATTTCATTAACCCATTGAACGAATGGTAGAATCCAATTCAGAACACTTACCGTCATATCTTTGGCGCAAAATCGGTCAGAATACACGTTTTTTTCCTCATAAAATTGTAAGGGAATGCAATCTCACGTACATACGTGAGAGCCAGAGTCAGATGAACGTAACCGGATTATGTTTTAGCACAAAACTACAGATTAAGTTTTCTACTGTCAGATAAATGAATGTACATAACCACCGGGGAAGTGTGATCGGGCTGTCCGGAACAGAAATTTACTGTTAACGTTTGGCTCCGAACTCGTCCCAACCTTGGCATAAGTGGATCATTTAATGGAGGTTCTGCGAATCGCCAATAAGTCTGTTGAACTGCACAATGAATGCAACTTTATGCCCAAAATGTGCTCTATTATTTGAAGGTAAATTAAAGTTACCATGAGGGAAAACACATGCCAGGAACTACGGCAGTGTGCTACAGAGTGGCGTTTAGTGCATGGAAGAAGCTTATGCAGGGGTTAGTTCCAAAGGACGAAAACTATACCATAAGGGAATGGATCAAATCGTCAGTCAAATCCCACCTCTTTGAGCTACGCTTACATTCCGGGCTTGTTATAAGTTACAGCAGCATTTGTGAACACTAACAGAATCACCGGACTTAGACATCTGAAATTGGCAAGCGTCTTGGCTGGTCTTGCAATAAGATCGTATGGAAGACTAAAAGGCACTGAAGAAATAAGCTGATCTGCAATGAAATTAAAGCACACATGAATAATGTTACCATCCGTGTGATTGACTATAGCCAGATAACCAAAAACGTTACGCTGTTTATTTACCGGCTTTGCTATACACCATCATGAACAACCGTCCAATCGTAAGATTCAGTAAGTGCTATCAGGTTCTGTCGTTGATTTCTTTAGTCTCATCAATCACTGAGGAACAAGCGACTGCCATTTTAACAGAGTTCCATTAATCATCCAACAGAAAATCCGTCTACTCCTCGAAACACTTTTGATCGAATCTGAGAAATCAATCCAATCCCCTACGACGTTTCATCCCTCTTTTCTTCTCAGTAGTTTATGCGTCCCATGTTTTATAGATTCTGACATTAGTGTAGACAGTCAGGAAGAACACATTTATCATGCTTTCCCCTCTGAGCGACCCAAGTGTCAGTCTCCATCAAAGATGCAGTGAAGCGTATTACATTGGCTTTATGTCGAAAGTCTGTGCGTCACGGATCCAAAAGTAAACGATAACTTAGGGAGTAGGTTACCCCATACTACTGTCCGAAGGCAGCACAAGAACTATCTAACTGTGTGAGTATCTGAATGTGGTACTAAGTCATCAGACTCCACCGTTGCTGTCACAGTATGTATCCATCATTTTTGGCCAAACTTTTTATTAAAAGACAGCACACAACCATAGAAACGCCAAGCAATAGAACTTTAAGATTATTCGGAGTTTACCTTCAACGTTTACTCCTATGTCGGATAACAGCTAAACTCTCCCAGTGTAACCTGCACACCTTCGTCATCTGTAACTTTTTCCACAGTTGTGCATTCAAAATCAGCACACCAAAGGAGAAGAACTATGCGACCGATGTCTAGCGGAGGGTTGCACTGAGCTCGAACATCAAACACAGATGGAATCGCTACCATCCCAGAATATCTGGATACTGAAACCAGCAGACATGTCCAGAGGCCGAGGTGTTTTCGTCTTCAATCAGCTAGAAGACCTTGTCTATATCAGCAAGTCGGTCGTCCAAAAGTACATCTCCGATGTTCTTCTAATAGAAGGATACAAATTTGATTTGCGGTTGTACGCCGTGGTGCCATCGTATTCTCCCTTCATTGTGTACATTTGCACTGAGGGACTTATCCGTTTTGCAACGGAGCCCTACAATTTGAGTGACTTGAAGAACGTGTACTCTCACCTCACAAACTCTTCCATCAATATCAGTGGACCAGGATACTCGATAGACAAGGTGAACGTTGGATTTGTGCTTTCTAACGCTTGTACGCCGTGTTCGTTACATATGGCTAAGGCAACCTGTCTGGCGTACTTAAGCGAGCCAGAGAAAGCGCTTTAACAGCCATACTTAGACCAACACTTCGTTCAATGCAATTCACTTCCAGAGGCGCATGAACAAATTCTTTTACCAGTTGATCGTCCTAGTTAAACTATCATTCTGAAAAAGGCATTTCTAGAATCTTCCCCAAACAAATCATTCGTTCATGTTGTGTTTAAAATAGTTGATTACCTTTCTCTAGTTATTAGCTGCAGCAGAGGTGAATCTTTTTTATTTTGTCTCAAAAGCTGGTCGTAGGATACAATTTGGCAACACCAGGTCGATACAATTCCCCTTCAAGACGGATTTGTCTAGATAATTTGCTTGTCGAGACAATAACATACGTTGTAAATTCCTTTTTCATCAGTTTCATCATCAGATGAATTTGAACAGACTAATCTTCGCTAACAGACTTTCAGCGCATGGTACAGTATTAAGGTAGGCGCACATTGACCGATTAGTATCTAACCAGTAGCAGAACAAGAGCAACTCATTAAACGGCCGTTATGTGACGACTGGTATATTCACTGTGCGTGATTCCGTAAGTCGATACCAATATCCGTCCTAAAAGGTGTCCTTCAAAATGACTGAATGAATGTGGTCCTGGTATCTTACATAAATTGACAAGATTCAGTAATTCGATGTCTCAGCTAATGCTTGAACTATAAAGTTGGCTATGGACTGGGACACATGTATGTATATGTATATTAACGCTCTTGAGAGAAGATGCTTGGTGTAGAATAGTGCTGCTATAGTGCCTAGCCAAGATCTGTTAACCCAAAGATTTCCGCTTCCGCGCGGCTGCAAGCGACTGGTGACCAATAAATTGCTTTGACACAAATGACTCTGAATAGGCTGTGTAATGAAGTGGATTTGTTAGTGCATGTGATCATTGCTCTTAACATCGTAGTTGTTCTCCGGCTCCAAAACTGATCCGCGTCTCAACAAGAACGGTCCAACTTGATAGGGTCCTAACAAGTGCACCAGTAGTACCTTGACTGTTTCGCTAGTTTCGATTTTCTGAGTCGCTCACCCTCGTCTGATCAGTCTTTTTTCAGTGATTGTGATAAAGTACTGTCGCACAATACCCGTATTATTTAAGGTTCCAAGTCCAGTACTCGAGATAATCGCTAATCTGAGTAGTCACTACATGTAATAAAGCCACTAACAAAGTTTTCGCTTGGTGTGCTCACATACCAATTTACGTAAGTTAGAAAGCGATATGAGAAGTTGTTGAGATGACACAGAAACCAGGCTTACTGGCTAGTACAGAACTAAGGCTATAAGATTAACTGGTGCCTTTTATATGCCGATAAGTTCACTGCGAACTGAGTAAATCACCAAACATTGAAACGGCATGAAGTGGATGCTGTACTCCTGGTTACCGATGTGAGTAGATTATAGTCGCATGGTGAATTGCGGATATTTTTACAACCCACAAAGTATAAAAGCTCTTCCTAGGTCGACTTGGTCATAAGCAATTTGCAACCAGGTCTAGTTTGTCGGGGTAGCGTACAGTCTGCCATCTGCCAACGGAGATGTATTTACAACAGTTGAATAAGCCCAACCGATACTCGTAGTGAGCACACTTATAAGCTACTGATGACACTTTTCTGTCTACTAATAAAAGAATGCTGTACACGTGAGCACTACATTAAAACAAAAGAATATCTCTAAGGGGGTGAAGGAGAGAGCTAACTCATTTATTATTGAAGCGAGGAAAGGTGGAACCTGAATAATGAATTCAGGGGGCCAGCTACTGTACCTCTGTGTTGCTTTATCGAAATAGTTGGGCACACACGCGGAATGGTACCATTTATTACATCGCATTTTCGACGCAATTCGGCTGTGCGACGTCCTATACAGATGCAATGCTATCTCGGAATTCGCAATCACCAAAGCTAGCGTCCAGGAATTCTCTAAAGTTCCACATCGAATTCGTCTGGGGTAAACTGTTCCAACATTTCACTAGTCCATGCTCGAAACAAACAGGATGATCTATCCGCTTCATGTCCGGATACTCACAAACCAAAGCAAGGCAGATAATCACATACACACCTACATAATTATATGGTTGGCAGCATCCGGTTTCGGATTTGCCTGTCACTGGGGCCAGCCACAGGACGCCTGCGCCTACAGAGGGACCATAGGCGGCTTGCGCTGCACCACCCACAGCTCCATCCAAACACCCCATAGCCTGTATAAACCCGAAAGAATAAGACCGGGAGGCATGTGGATGGGAGCCACGTTTCATCAACGGAGCCGGCCCACACTACTTCACAGACAAACACAAGCACGCTGTATTTGGGGAAACAAGCGCACACAAGGCGGTGGCTGGACCGTAGTCCGCTCCACACTGAGTGCATGGAACCACTCTTCGATCCTAGCACGACCACAGGGACCGTGCATCCCGCCTCCTCTAGCAACGACCTGGAGCCAGTATGAACGAGGTAGTGGGTAATAGACAGGTAGGCACTTTGTCAACACGCACATCAAGCGCAGCCACACCGGGGATATCAAGCAACAGTCAATCACTTGAAACGACAAGATGAAATAAATTAAATCGAATTATGTATAGCGCTACGGCGATATAACTCTTCACTAAATTATCACATGAAGTAAGTTGGTTAGCAAGAAATCCGCGATAAGTAAAAAATGCCCACAAGTTACTTAAAAACGCTAAAAACGCAACAAAGTTACTGAAGATAAACGCAATTAGCGTAAGCAACGTGGCCAGTTAATAGAAGATTATTCAGGTAAACAGAACAAACCAAATAAAGTGGAATGAAATTTATCCAGCTTAAAAGACCAAGTTTAACTGTAGCTTGGTTTAACCCAAATGCGGTGAAGAAACATCAAGAATGCAACATCATATATATATATATATATATATATATATATATATATATATATATATATATATATATATAGGGTATATTATTAATCTGGTCCGGAGCTGGGAGCGGCTACACTCAGGTGCTTACGTACACCTGTACATTGAATTGCTAACTGTCCAATGGCGCAAATTGCTTTGCTGGCAGGGGTGAAATGGGACAAAGAGACGCGACATGTGTGCTTAAAATCGCAGAGCACGGCGAGCCGTTCGGCTTTGAGAACTGAACGTTAGCAAATACCACAGCCACAACGAATGCGTCATTCCTCGACCGGAGGGTAAGACCAACCAACCGCAAGCCGTTCGGCTGTGATAACTGGACACCATAGCTACATTGAACGTGTCATGCTTCGATCGAACGGCAGTCGGCCTTCACTCAGGTGAAAAGCCTGCAAAAGGGTTTCTTGCTAAGTCGTTAGTGGGTCGCTGTGCTAGCAACTGAGAAAAACAGCCTGGCCGTATGTGATGACCGGTCGATGGACGCCGTATTGCTATCGCCACAAAAGCTGTTATCGCCTCATGACTGGCTTCCAACAAACCCGTTAGCTTTTATTAGGCCGCTTTCATTGCTAAATGAAATTATACTGCCCGGAGCACATTGTAAGGTTACATTGTTGTTCGCTTTACGGTTTCGATCGCGTGTGTGTTACAGCAGAGATGAATACTTTGACAAGTAAAATTAGTGTAAAATTAAAAAAATTATCAAGTGTAAACGTTCAGAGAGACACTGGGGTGCAGTGATCGTTGATGTAAGGAGTGAGAAAAGTCAAATATGGTCGCTCACTTAGGTCCTTTTGATATATAAATCCTGTTGAAAAGCGTGCTTGGAGTAATCCACAATAGAGTAATTTAGGTACCAAAATGTTGGGAGCTGAGATCAACATCTAATCGTTTTTTGAAAATATCCAAGGTAGGAGAGGATACAACTGAGTCTGGGAGTGCGTTCCAGGGTTGGCAAACTCGAAGGGAAAAGTAATTCCGTCGACACTCTAGACGGCTATATTGCTCCTTTAACTTTAAGCAGTTACCCCTGAGCTGCGTGTTGTGGCTAAGTTTCAGCAAATGGCGGCATACGTGGTTGGGGTCACTCAATATCTGATACGCTAACATGAGATCGCCGCGCAGCCTTCGATAGCGTCCACTGAAAATTCCCAGCAACTTCAGCCTTCGGTGGTAAGAGTGATAGCGCATGCCCTTTACATTCACTGTTGCCCTTCGTTGTGGTGCATCTATCGCTTCCAGGTCGCGCTGCAACCAAGGTTGCCAAGCTTGGATAGCGTATTCAACATGCGGGCGCACGTAGGAATTGTGCATCATTGGGAAGATTGATGGGTCAAATCTCCCGAATGCCCTTCGCAACATGCCAACGTACCAGAACCCACCAGCGAGTCGTTAAAAGGTCGACAAGCCGAAGAGCAAAATCGCTGGACTGAGATAAGCTGCGCACTAGGACTAAACGTTCTCCCAACTAGTCTTACACGTCTGTCACGAAACCCATCGTCTCCTCACGTAGGGGAACCTCGGTTACTGCGAGTAACATTTGGCAACATAAAGGACTTGGAGGATGTTCTCTTAGCAAGCCACGGTCTACCGAACTCTTCTCTCAGTGCCCGCATTTTTCCAGACATGCCATGGAAGGAAAGACAAAAGCGAAAATCCGACTCAACCGCGTCTCGTCAAAATGTAATGAAGAAAGTTGTGTTGGTTCATGGTGTGCCCGAACTGAAACATGGCGACACCAGTGAAAGACAAAAACACGATATTGATGAGCGGCGCTACATCACAGAACTCTATGGCATGCAGAATGTTGTGGCATTCGACGTCAGCCGCTTAGCTTCCTCCCCAAACTATCAAGGGAGCGGGCCGAAAATTTTGAAAGTTACCTTGGCTACGCCGGAGATGGCATCAATGGCAATTAACGTGTGGTACCACAGCAGAAGGCTAGGACCACCAGAGGTACGACTGAGACCATTCCTGCAAGCAGTACAGACCACTGGTACAGTTGAGTCAGACCTGGCTTTTC